GCCGGTCTCCAAGATGCGATAAGGGTAGTGGATATTCCACCCACAAACCTAAGAAAGCAATTGGTTAGAAATCGAATTTATGACCGTCTCTGCACAACGACTTCCTGTGTCATATGTCCATTTGGAAAGAAGGGGAAACCTCAATGAGCAATCGGGGGTGGTGTATCTAATAACGTGTCAGCAGTGCAAGGAGGAATATATTGGGGAAACAGGAAGGCCTCTGTGCATTCGCATAAAGGAACACCTGGATGGCATGCGAAAGTCCAAAGTTGCCTCTCCTCTGGGAGAGCACAGGGTACGGTACCATGGGGACACATGTTTTGAGGTGGCAGTCACGATACTATCACGTGAACCGGATATTGCGGCGCGTCGAACGTTGGAGGCCTTTTGGATCACGTCCAAGACCCCTAAGATCAACAGGAGGGAAGAGTGTGTGGCGGTCACTGCAGAGCTCGCACCCTTCGCGGACCTCTGTGGGTTTTGACCTACGCGGTCGATCCCCCGCGGGGTCCTGGCGCGTGGGTCGGGGGCTTATACAGTAATCGATAGGAGGGGTTAAGTACGGGTCAGCAGCGCAGGTACTCGATGGTGGCCTCCAGAGTTGTTTGATCTACTTGATCGACCCTTTGGAGGCCCTTGAAGCAAAGATGGGTCCCTAGGTTCCCTATTTAAACCGCAGCTATATCCAGCTGGGTACAGTGGGACCTCTCTGGTTCGACTACCTAAAGGTCAGTTTATTAGTGGTCCTATGACGTCGTCTTAGTAGTTTACATCCCTTTTGGAGTTTTCTTGTAAGTTGAAATAGTGTTTGGACGAAGGGTTTCCTGAATGGCTGTTCGGCTTTTCCAGGTTCCCGAAGGCGACGACGCCGAACGTCAACGCGTTATATAAGAGATATTTACACAATCTTGGCATCAGCTTATTACCCCATCACATGACTATATCCCGTAGAATCGATGCCAGAGGATTATCCGAAAGTCGAACGTGCACAGTGTATGTCACAACATTTGCTAAGCAAGTAGCTAAGTTGACACGCGTAGAGAGAGTGAGCTGCATATCCAACTGGCCTTGCGATACTGTGTGGGTTAATATAACGGGTTCTGAGCAACATAAGTACTGCTGTGGCTTTCCATATGCTTGTGCATAGTTGCTGGGAACTGAGCCTGGAAGATTTTGTTTTGGTCATAAACTGGTGCTGGAGCTAGAATGATAGGGAAGGCCCATTGAGCTTGATGGAAAGTAGAAGAATAGGCAGTCCATTGTTTTGGGAAGAACGTTGGGTAAGGAGGTGACTGATACGGCTGAATAGGTTGAGTAGTGAACTGCTGTGGTTGTGGGGGCTGTATAGAGGACTGAGAAGGGTAGGGTGTTTCAGGAGGAGACTGTAAAGTAATGGGGTCGCACTCGACGACGATGATGTGCTCTGAGCCTGTTGGAATGGCGTCGGTACGTACGAAGGTGTATTTTCTGAACAGAAAAAATTATCAGAGAAAAAATCTATTCAGAGATCAATTATTGATTGGAAATACCGTATATCGGCTGTTTGCCAGAGGAGCTGCTCTGCTCGAAGGGATTCAGAGATACAGAATTGGACTGTGAGCGATTCTGTGGCAACTCTGACGCCTCCTTTATGGTACCGGCAGGTGCTGGAATGCCGGGCATTGGCTGATTGATTATGGAAGAAGAGAGTCCGATCTGAGGGGGAGCAGGAGTCGGAGTGAGCACGGAATAAGGCGACGGAACCGGAGCAGGTTGAGGTGGACCAGGTCCCATGGACGGTGATTTACTTGACGTTCCTGCAATGTGTTCCTCAGCGATGAGCTATTTCTTGAGTAAATTGCCCTTCACCTAAATTCAACCGTTGTAGATCAGCCACGGGGACAACTCCGGAGATTGTTGCCTGCTCATATGAAGGAACCGGGTCCAGCAATGCTCCTGAAATACGATAGTTAGCTTTAGTCACTCAGGCCGTGTTTATACTTCGCATCATCAGCGATTTGAAAACGACGCCCACGACTCCTCCTCCCCCACCTAACGCTCCCCTCACCATAACGCTAATCGTTGGACTGCAACAACTGTAGGTAGAAGTCCCTTAAGAATATGATTCAAAGACACATCCCCGTACACTTGATGTACAGCCGCATTCCCGAAAAAAGTGATCCAACCCGCAAGCACCCACCTTAGTGGCTCAAAAATTCCGGTAAGGACGCCACCCGCTGACGAAGAAGGCAGGGCCCCGCCCAGTGCCCACCATTTCGGATCACGGGACGTACCTTTGATTATCAGCGGCAGCAGTCCAACCACTACCAATGGAGTGCATTCAAAATCGCTGGTTTATCGCAATAGGAACTCGGGCTTAGTTAACAGTTGAGAGCAAGACCTACCTTGAGGAGGAGTAAAAACGACTTCTTCGACAATCAAAGGGCCTTCGATGGCGACTTCCCTGATATCCGTCGGGCTAACAAGATGAATGAAATCCATCATATGAATGTTGTTGAAGTAAATCTGAAACATAGTCATAAGGGCGGAAACAGGGACCCTATTTCGCCCTTTACACTGATGTGCTTCCCTTTCGAGAAGGGAAGCAGTACTCATGCACGGTGAGGTGGTTTCTGCCTCCACTCATATGGTTGAACGCGGGGACTGATAAAGACAGTCTCCGCGCTCAGCCAGTTCGTAGGCGCCCTTCCCTGTTCAAGTAATCTACTCCGCGGTCCTCAAGACTGCCCTACTTTCGCGGCTTCAAAGTAAGCGACGCGCTGTAGCCCCTA